AGGCTGGGCGCCGGGGCAGGGTGCGGGGACAGGGGGAGCACTGGGTTTGCCTTCGGGCCTGGCATCTTTCCTCTTTGGTCCCCAGTGGTCCGCCTTCAAGGTAGTAATACAACGTTTAGAAGCCAACGACGCGGACGTGGCAGCCCGGGTTCGCAGCTTCCAGCGGACGGTGGGCGGCGCGGGGCGGTCCCGGCTCCCCGCACGGCCGCGCTCAGTCGTCGTGGCTCTGCTCTGCAGCCTCGCCGGGCGTCTCCGCTGGCTTCTCGGCCTCCTTGGCGCGCTCCTGCTCCGTGAGCTGCTCGCTGGTGGGAATGGAGTTCTTCTTGGGCCTTCCCTTCGGCTTCGTGGGGGACTCTAGGCCGCCACCCTGCAGTACCTGCGCGGGGTAGATACCAGACACCATTGGGAACCCGTCCCAGGCAGTTCAATTCCTAGACAATCACAGGCTCCACAAGACGACCCAAGGACGCACTCAGTCGGGGCGGGGTGGGACTAGAAGGGAGGTGACACTTTCCCGAGCGCTGCTAGGGAGAGATCTTAAGAGAGCGCCTGGAGGAATAGTTCTCGACCGCCTGCCGAGGCCTGCAGGCACAGTGGGCAAACAAACACGTAGGCACCTGGCAAGTCAGAGAGAAGACCTTGAGATTGGGCAGAAATCGTACGGGGCGCGTAGGGGTGGTGAGAAGGAGCTCGGGTCTACGGTGCCCTGGGAGCATGGCTGAATAAGTTAGGAAGAAATAAGTCGAGAGTACACTCACTATTTTCTTCCACTTCATTCTTCGATTCTGATACCAAGTCTTCACCTGCAACTGACTCAGGCCCAGGGATTCCGCGAGATCTATTCTGCGAACCAGCAGGGCGCACCTTCAGCAGGGCAGGAAGCACCCCGTCCAACCGCTTGTTTCGACCCCACCTGGTCCCGCCCTACCTGTCCGGCGTGGAGAGGTACTTCTGCTTCTCGAAGCGTTTCTCCAGGCCCATCAGCTGCAACTCGGTGAAGACGGTGCGGCTCCGGCGTCCCTTCTTGGATTTGGTGCCCGGGTCTCCGGGACCGGGGGCCTCCAGCTTCCCGCGGAGCTGCAGCTCCAGCGGCAGGTGCGGTGTGGTCCCGGCGCCCGGCAGCCCAGGCCCCGCTGCCAGCAGTGCGGACCCGAGTCCCGAACAGCTGAGCGGCGTCAAAGGGAACTTGAATACGGCAGCTTGCTCAGCCTTCAGCATGGCTGCGGCGGGGGGAAAAAGCGGAAAGCCAAATAAGCTAAGTGCTTGAGTTCCTCCATCTCTGGCCCCCCACCCCCAACCCCTATACAATGTGCGAAGCCACCCCAAGTTCTCCTAAACAGAGATACCCACTCTTAGTCATCGCCACCAAGCATGAAACCACTGCTCCAGGCCGCTGCCATAAGATTTGTATCACCCGCTGGGAGCGACCTTCAACTCCCGCATCCCAAGAATTTAGAAGAGGGGTCTCCCTCAACCCGGACTTGGTTCTGCATTCCCTGTATCCATTCCCAACTCTGAGGTTTCCGGGTTATCGAATTGCTAATTTTTTGCAATTCTGAATGGAAGTGTGTCTTTGTGGAAAAGAGAAACTAAGAAGAAACAGTAAGCAATTAGATGGGACTTTTGCCCTACCAAATCCACATTTTCGCTCTTGGGAGGAAAAAACAATAATGGAGTGTGCATATGGGCTATTCTGTTCCTTGTAGCCACTCAGAGGATCATGTTGTCAGTATAGGTACCTGGATGGTAGCTTCCCAAGAAGTCCCAAGTGCTCCAAAATTGAGAAATCGTTGTTCTCATTTTTTCTCTCTGTTCAAATGCTTCACTATTAAGATACATCGATTTTGTGCTACTCCTAAAATCATTGTTGTTGTTGTTTTGCTTCCTTCAAATGAATCATGAGCAGCGGAGCAGCCAGAGGTGAAAGGCAGCCCAGAAGCTGGGTTCGAGCTGGACTGCAAACGAACAAACTGGCCTGTTGACCTGCCCCAAGCTGGGCCCTGACTCAAAGCTGCAGAGGGTCAGAAAAGGCTTGTGACCAGTGTTCTTCCCTTTCACAGCTACTCCACCAAAATATCTTCCCTAGCCAAGCTGGAATCAGAGAATGGCCGCCCTGCAAAGCAGTGGTGGGGGACAGGGGAAGGAAGAGCAGCCTAGAAAAGATAGGATCATTCGTGGGGAAGGTGGGAAAAGGGTGACAGGCCCACGCTAGTGGGGAGGAGAAAGATCAAGAGAGCTAGGGAGAGCAACAAGGAAAGGCAATGTAGTAACGAGTCCACTGGCAGGATAGGACAAAGCAGGCCCATCAAGGGTGGAAGAGAAAGTAGCCCGAGAGGCCTGAACAGGCGGCTCTGGCTTCTCCAAGGCCTAGCCAACCTGGAAGTGCCAGGGCCAGTCTGCCAGTACTCCAGAGTGTCTCAACGGGAATCCCTAGGGTTCTGAGAGGCTCCAGGCAGGCTGGGACCAGCCTTAACCTTCCGCACTGGGGGGCCTGGGTCTCTTCCTCAGAGATCCCAGCTTTCTCGCCTGCCTCGATCACTCCTGGTCAGTCCTCTGGGCGAAAGCCTAGGCGGAGGAGGTTTAGCCAGGCAGTGGTTGTCAGCCTGAAGCTCACAGAGCGGGCAAGACGCAGCTTCCTTCTGGGAGGGAGTCAGCTTAGTGCCTGCCATAGGGATGGCCAGCTCGAGTCCGTGGGCCCAGATCACTGAGGCCTCCAGCCTCAGTGGCAGCTGTGAGGAGGGAGCTTTTAGCGAACACTGTCCCCAGCTTGGCCAGGGGCCCGAGGCCTGGTTTCTGTTCGACTGAGCAATTGGCCCCTCCGCTGCCCTGCTGGGGCGCGCCGAGAGGACAGCACGCCCAGAGCTGGTCCCGCTGGCAGCGCAGGCATTGGGGGTCTTCAGGCTCGCCCCCAGAAGTGCCACCCCCCCGTGGCCCTCCGGCGGCACACACCTACCCAGGTGGCTGTGGAAGGGCCGGGCAGCCAGCAGCGCCTGTACACCGAACTTGAGTAATTCCCCGGCAGCCGCGGCGGCGGCGGCAGCTGGCGCAGCGCCTTTGGGCCCCGGCGGCTCGGTGAGGATCTCCTCGATCATGAAGCTGCGGTAACGGTGCGGCCGGTGGTCCGCGCAGCCCTCGGCTGGGCCGAAGAACGCGGTACCAGGATCCCCGGGCCGCTGCATCGCGGCGCCCGCGAGCAGTGGAAACTGCTTGCCTGCGGCGCGGCTCGTGGGGCAGCTGGGCAGGCACGGGGCTCTAGGCCGGCCCGCAGCTCGAGGCCGCGGGCGGGAGCCGGCTCATGCCCCCTCCCCCGCTGGCCAAGCGGAGTGCAGGGCGCGGGCGGGGGGCGTGAGCAGGGGATCGACCGATGGGACCCCGGGACTGCGCCCCCGCCCCGCGCCGCCGCGCCTCTAGCCCAGCCCGGACCTCGTCACCGCCCCGCCCCGAGCGACCCGAACGCCGCCCACCCCGCCCCTCCCCACCAGGCTGGTCTAGGGTGTCGGATTAGGAGAAGGGAGGGAGAGTGGGAGGGTTCCCTCGAGAGAGAGGGAGCGGGCAGACAGCCCCAGTGGGCAGTGTGGAGCGTAGGCAGCTTGCCCGGGAAGGAGGATTCAGGAGCGCTCCGAGAGAGGGACAAGCCCAGCGCAGACAGACGCCTGGGAGAACCCCGGAGAGACCGCAGAGATGGGAGACAGAGGGCCGAGAGTGAGGTGAGAGAAGGGGCCATAGAGAAACAGTGAAGTCCTCACGAGGGACAAAAACCAGATTCTAACGGTACCAAGGACAAGGAGAAGACAGGCACAGAGAGAGGCCAAGAGGACACAACTGGATAGCCACCAGGAGGGACACAGGAACTGAAGTAGACAGAGGGACTCAGAGGCAGGCAAGGAAGCCAAACATTAGAGAGGGGGCCAGTCAAGAGAGCGGTGTCGGGGAGGCTGCTCCTCAGGAGTCCAGGAGCCTTGAAAGGTCAGAAGAATGGCAGGGCCTTGTCAGGAAGGACGTAAGTCTTGGGTGTGTTGGCCTTCCTGCCAGGATGCAGGGACTACTCTTGGTCTGTGGACAGTGAGGCTGCCTTAAGGGGCTGCGGTTTTACCTGTGCACACCCACTGCAGTCTATCATTTATGCTCTCATTTCACCGCCCAGCCGTCCTAGAGGAAAATCTGCATTTGCTTCCATTGCTAAGTGACTACTGAATGCATCGTCTGCTGGAAAATCCCCTTGTGAGAGGAAGACAGTGGTGCCAGGAGAAAGTGAGGTGGCAGCTTCACCTTTTCTGAACATTCTCAGACATTTGAGAAAGTGGGTGGAACTGGGCAGTGGGCCCCAAAGTGCACTGGGAACTTGGAGACAGAACTCCAGTGTGACCAGGCTCAGCATTCCGACCTGACCTTCAAAGTCATGATTGAGGAAAGCAGCTGCATCTTCTCTACACCCCCTGCCCCCCGCCCCCCCACCATGGTAAAACAAATCTAAGCTTCGAGACTTTGGTGAAGAATGTTGAAGAATGCCTAGTTTCCTGGTTCTGGCCCTGCCACTCCCAAGGCAGAAGTCTCCTTGGCCTGTCCAAAGAGATGTTGACTGATCCAGGGAGATGGTGAGGACTAGGTGAGGAGTCAGACAGCTCAGGACCTGAGGGGTGTTGTCGGGTGTGTGTTGTAAAGGGGTTATGCAGTGCTTCCAGGCAATGAAAAATAGGTTTGGATAAGAGCTGCAGGTGGCTGGGAAATAGAATTGATCATACCTATTGTCCCGGTCCTCTCAAATTGATGTTTCTCTGCTGACAATGAGACCGGAACTACCCAAGGCCACTGGCATCTGTCTCTCCCCACTCCTCACCAATGGAAACTAGGGGATGGCTAAGATTCTTTGTCTATAGAGAATGGAAAGAGGAACATACATATAGCATCTTAGAAAGGAAATGTCTGACCAGAGAGTTGGGCAAGAGGACCTAAGAGCTCTATGGACCCAGCCCCCTAGTCCAAGGTCAGCCCCTTTGTTACTCAGTAGTTATCAAGATCAAAAGTAGGTGGCCTTTGTGACCTCTAGTTGCTTCAGACTCTTCAGGTGAGTAGTTCTAAGTCAAATAGGGCTTCGGAAGTGGGTGGTACAGGACCCACTAGCATACTATTATCCCACCCTGAGCAGGCCCTGAGAGATGGAGAGAAAGTGGAGCTGTGCCCATCTCTGTTGGCTCAGCAGTCACCCTCACCTCCCACCTAGCAAACGGAGGGTCCAACGTGAATAAGGTTGGATCTAATTTTTGCAATTCCTCTCTACTCCTACCTGGCCTTCTTTCTGGCGTCCTCTCTCATCCTTATTCTCAATCAGAGCCCATAGCCTCTTTCCATGCCTCCCTGCTAGCTGGCTCCCTATCTGACTTCAAGCTGGGCTTGGCTAGCCTAGGTCTCCACACCTACCAGCACCAACTCACTTCACTGCTCCCCAGACTCCAGAGTAGCTCTTTGATCAGGTAGAGACAGGCAGTCCTTTTCAAGAATGAAGACCTCACTTTTAGATGTGGGGGAACAAAGACTGGTGTGGTCCAGTTCCCTCCCTGTTTCACAGGTGTGGAGGCTGCAGAGGGAGGGCCCTGGCCAGCTCCTTGAAGACCAGCTAGAACCGTTTCCTAAGTTAGGCTCAGGTCCCTGAGGGCTCTCTGGGAAAGCCCTGCGTGGCAAGAGTGCCTTCTGAGGTTTTGTGGGGGGGATGGAAGGGGGGAGAGAGAGAGATCTTAGTTTCTGTCTCGCCCCGCCCACAGAGCCCTGCAAGTCCGCAGCTGCCCCTTCCGTTCAAGCACCATTTTCCTCCTTTGCCTACTCCACAGTAAGGCGGCATATAAACCTCTTTCAGGCGAAAAACACACACACACACACAGCGGCAGATTTCCTCCGCTCTCAGGAACTATGATCTTGGAAATATAAAAGGGCTCACAGAAAGCAAAATCTCTCCCCTTCCCGTCGGGGACACTGAAGCACCGAGAAGAGAAGTCCATGATGGCAGAGGAGCGAAGATTGGATGGAGCCCCCAGGTGCCTCGGGCTTCCAACGAGTGCAGGGCCTAGAGTTTCTAGGCCAGGGGCGCAGCCTCGCAAACGGTGCCGAGGCCTCCTCCGCCGTCTGCTTTGAAAACCCCAGAAAGCAGCGGATGGAAAAGGTGACTTCATCGCCCAGCGGCCCAGCGGCCCTCCCCCTTGGAGGCAGTGAGGGTGAGGGGCTCTGGGCGGCAGTGAGCGCTTTCTTGGCACTTCGCAGACACTGTGCTCCTGCAACAGCCCCCTGCTCCACTATTACTTTGATCCAGTCTGTGGGGGAGGGGCGAGTAGGTCATCATCAAAAATCCGTAGCCCCAGCGTGAGTTAGGAAAATGGAGGTTCCAGGGCCTCTACACTGTCTCCTGCGGACAAAACCTCCTCTCAGCTCTTCTTAGAGGGTGTTTCTAGAGCCGCTACTGGCCGAAGGGGTCGTGGATCCACTGCATGGATGGCGCAGCTGAGGCCCGGAAATTTGTCGCCCTAGGCCTCTGGCCTGTTTCTTTGCGTCTTTCTTCGCAGTTGCCCACGAATTTTAAAAATACACCGGCCTCCCAGGGTTTGCGTCGGTAGCAGTGAAACGCAGGGACAAGTTCGAGCAGGGATGGAGGAGGGTAGAGGTGTGGGGAGATTCACCGGAATGGTAGCTCACCCCAGGCCAGAAAAATTGTAGCAGCGGCCTGGGAGAAGTCCTGCACCTTCCCGCTGCCTGGGAAGGGACGCGGAGTAGCGGAGTCCCTGAGAGGGCCAGCCCCTCACCCCTGCTCCAGGAGCAGCCCTGCCGCCGCCGCCGCGTGGGGCGTGGACCCGGCTTCACTCAGCCTCCGGCTTCGGGGCTTGGCGCGTCCGCAGTTCCTTCCTCCGCTCGCCCTCTCTGCCTCCTCCGAGCTGTCTTCGCCGGTTGCTCCTCGGCCATCCAGATGCGGGACAGGCGGGCGGGCCCCCGCACCAGGCGGGCTGGAGCTGCAGGTGTCTAGAGAGTGGCAGGAGCCTGTCCCAGCACGTACAGATGCCAGGATTCGCAACTGGCGACTGTGCCCAGTGATTGGAAACAGATCTCGGGGGTCTAAGACGCTCCCGTCCCGCAGGCGCTCTAACAGAGAGCCAGCTGCACCCTCGTCGGGGGAGGAGGCCAAGCGCTTCCATCCATCTCTCCGGATTGAAATGAGGCTCTTGGTGCCGCGTTTCTTTAGGAAAACCTGGAAGTCTTCTTCCCAAGGGACAGCAGGGCATGTCCGGCGTGAAGGGTGCTGAGTTCTCCCATCGCCGAAAGGCGGGTCCGGAAGCCGGCCTAGTCCGCGCTCCCTAAGGTTTGGTGGCAGCGAGGACTTTCGCTTTGAAGCTTCTGAAACCCGTTAAGCGTGGGGAGGGACACCGCCTCCAGACGCATCCCTCTGTCTCTTTCCTGCCTGTTCCCTTTCTCCGAATAATTTACAAATTTGTTCCTTTGATATTTGCTCCTGGGCTTTTGTTTTGTAGCCCTCGCTCCCCTGCCCCCCAACAGCAACAAAAATGTGTTTTTCGTTGGAAGGCCGAGTTTAAATGAATAGGCAGGCAGATATTGGACTCCACCGATCTAGCGATCCAGCGAGGGCTGGATGTTTGCTGCCCCGGGAAACCAGAGGCAAACCTGCGCGCAGCACATACCCTGGGCACCCAGCTCCTGCCCATCTCTCTTCCAGTGCGTTCTCATCCCGGCCTCTGCCTCGGAGCTGGTTCTTGCGAACTAGTGATACTACAGGGGCCACACACTCGGCGGCCCGGAGCGCTGCGCCGGGTTGGGACCTTGCAGGGTGGGGACCCTGGGCTTGCTGGGTTTCGACGTCAAGGTTTGCCCGAGGGACTCAGGGTAGACCTCCACCGGGGACTCCCTCCTAGCTTTCAGAGGGCAGGGCCAGCAGCGTTCTGAGCGATAGGAGCTCAGATCTTGGTGTGGCCAGGAGAGCGCCTAGCAGGGGCGCCTAGGTTGGCATCCTCCCCTGGGCCTTTGAGGAGTGTAAAGGCCCTGGTGATCTCTTTTGGCCCCCTGGAGGTGTTAGAAGCCGTCTGGCTTGTGCCGCCTGCTCACTTGGCCAGTTCACCAATGTGGGCCTTCTCCTCTTCCACTGACAACCACTCAGGTCACTGTTCTCCCAAAGTCCCGGAGTTGG